GAGTAATTTTAATTTATTTAATTGTTCAAAATTGTCCAAAGTGTCCAAACTTACTGTCCACAACTGTCCCGTGACAAATAATTTTAATACCGTGCTCAACGGCACGGGTATTTGCTAGTTATTTTATATTATGCGGTTTATGCGGTTTTATGCGATTTGCATAAAATCGGTGTCCCTGTACTAGACACGCTGACACGCTTCGCGAATTATTTACGAGTAATGGAATCTAATAAGTCAAACACCCCACGACCCATTAAAAAGCTTGATGAATCTGTTGTAAACAGAATTGCTGCTGGAGAGGTTGTTCTCCTGTCAATAATATGGTGCCTATCGGTTATATACTGCAATTTTTGCAAAGCGTAACACTTAAGGCAAATTTGTAGGTTATTCAACGGCCTTCTAACGCGCTAAAAGAGCTAATCGAGAATTCTTTGGATGCTGGAGCAACTAACATTCAAATATTAATCAAAGAAGGAGGACTCAAACTACTCCAAATTCTCGATAACGGACATGGTATTAGAGTAAATATTGAAATTTTTTTTAGTAATACCCGAGTTTTTTTCTTGACTAACTCTTATATCCACGAAGAGAGAGGATATGGCTATCGTGTGTGAACGTTTCACAACAAGTAAACTTAAGAATTTTGAAGATTTATTACACATAGGCACTTATGGATTTCGTGGTGAGGCTTTAGCTAGTATAAGTCACGTAGCTCATCTTACAATTACCACGAAAACTGCTGATTCTAACTGTGCTTATAGGTTATCATCTATAAGATCATATATTGTTTAGTTATTAATAATGCACACAAAGTTAATCTCACCATATTTAATTAGAGCTTGCTATTCTGATGGTAAACTTGTTCCACCAAAACCTGGTGCCGCTGCTGAACCAAAAGCATGCGCAGGTAACATTGGTACACAGATTACAGTAAGCTTAACCTCATTAATTGACACAATTATACTTTTTTGTGATGCTTTATCGTCATTATTATTAATATACAATATTCTGTAAGGCGGAAGATCTCTTTTATAATGTACCAACTCGTCGGAAAGCTTTGAAGAACCCAAGCGAAGAATATGCAAGGATTCTTGATGTGGTTAATCGTTACGCTATTCATAATGCAGGTGTTGGATTTTCATGTAAAAAGGTAAAATAATACTTAAAATGTAACTGATTATTTTTTTATATGCTGACCAAGCAATTGCATTATGATTAGCAAGGATCAACTCAAGCAGACGTGAATACTTTGTCAACAGCATCTACATTAGACAACATTCGGCAAATATACGGGAACGCGGCCTCTGAATTATTAGAGTTTGGGAAATTTTTCAGAAAGCTCGAATTCAGAGTGAATGGATACATTTCTAATCCCAATTATAATTTAAAAAAAATTGGGTTCCTTTTGTTTATTAATCGTGAGTTTCTATATTTTGCTCTCGAGACGTTTTTTAACCATTAGCCATTTAAATTATAATGTGCTATCATTTAAGACAGAGCAGTAGAAAGTTCATTGCTCAAAAAAACTATTGAAAGTGTTTATACAACTTATTTGCCGAAAAATACGCATCCATTCGTTTATTTGAGTTTAGAGATTAATCCAGAAAATGTTGATGTGAACGTCCATCCCACAAAACGCGAGGTTTGTTTTGATGTCCTATTGTATCAAATGATGATGTGCTATTAAATCTGTTTATCCTTAATAGGTTCGATTTTTAAATGAAGAAGAGATTATTACGGCAGTTGGAGATGCAATACAAGAACGCCTTGTTGGAGCTAATAGTTCTAGAGTTTTTTTAACTCAAGTAGACTTTTGATATTAATTCATTATAAATAGCAAATTATTCGTAAATAACAACTCAGTAGCTTTTCTATTTCTATAGACTTTATTACCTGGTGCCAAACCAATAGAGACTAATACAAATGAGGCTGAAAGTTCAATTAAAAAGTCTGGTAAAGTTATTATAAATTTTGGACAGTATAATTATTTGTTAATACTTTTACAAGCTATTATACTAAACTATAGGCACCAAGATATTGACATATAAACACGTTAGAACTGACAGTAGAGCTCAGAAATTAGACCGTTTTTGCGCTCCAAATGATTTATCCAATGCGATGTCCCAGAACAATACAGATAATGAATTCAATACAAGGTATTTCAAGATTTTTACTTGTTATTGAAATGAATCAAATGCGTATAAAGTTTCGCATCAGTCAAGTATCCATTGATCCTTGAAAAATCTTTATAGCAAATTATATAATAACATTATTTTATTTGTTTTAGCCATAGTTGTCATGATTCTATCGAAGGTGACAACGCTGTATCGTCAAGTTTGAAACGTAAGCGTGATCGTAATGAGGTTCGATTGACAAGTATCTTAACATTGCGAAAGCGGTTACGAGAAGTCGAGCACAAAGGTAAATATGAAAATTATACTTAATTACCCTTGCTAAACTATTAATATCAAATGTATTTATGCTCTTTCGTGCAGGGCTTACCGAATTGCTCTCTAATCACACAATGGTTGGTTGTGTTGATGATTCGTTAACTTTAGCTCTTATACAGCATCAAACAAAACTTTACATGATCAACTATAATATTCTTAGGTAACATGACACTATTTATCAGTGAAATTTATATGCATTTACTATTTACTCTATATTATTCATAAATATTATGAATTTATTAGTGAAGAATTGTTCTATCAATTAACTCTTCAAGAATTTAGTAACTTCGGATTTATTCAATTATCTACTCCAGCCCCAATATATGATCTAATCATTTATGCTTTGGAATCAAATGTTCAAGAGACAGAAAATTTAAGACCAAATCATGAAATTGCTCTGGTATCTTTCATTTGCACTGACTTACAAAATGAATGAGTTCTTAATTCATTTTAATTAATTTGATTTTAGATTATCGTTAATAAATTGATCTCTAGGAGACAGATGTTATTAGAATACTTTTCTATGACTGTAAGTGAACAAGGTGAACTGGTCACTTTACCATTAATGCTTAAAGGATATGCGCCCAACTTGAATAAACTTCCGACATTTTTGTTGCGCTTGGGCAGTGAGGTAATCAAAACTTTTTTTAGGTTCTTACATTGAAAATTAAATATTTATTGATCTTTCGATTATATTTTTTGTAAAGGTTGACTGGGATACCGAAATTGGATGTTTTGAGACTTTGTCTCGTGAATTTGGATTATTTTATGCGCCTGAACCACCAGATTTTTCTTTTCAAGATGGTGGTGATGATTTAATGGATATTGATCCAGATAATGAACATGATGAGATTGATGGTAACGCAAAAAAACGAGAAAAAGATAGCGCTGTAACAAAACAAAGTCAAAAGGCCGAAATCGCAAGGTATCGATGGCAAATTGAGCATTTAATTTTTCCAACTTTAAAGGGTCAGTTCATAGCTCCCAAAAGCATTGCTGAAAGTGGGCATATACTTCAGATAGCAAATTTACCTGATTTATATCGTATATTTGAACGTTGTTAAAAAATTAATACAATTAAGAATTTTTTCAAGCTTTAATTCAATAAATCATTTTTAAAAATTAGTATATATGATATGAACTTTTTTAAATTCAACTATATATACATTATTCTAATATTTAAAGAATTCTCTAATACAACGAAACGCTATTAGAAACAAAATAATATTTACCGTATATTACTGATTAAAAGCAACCTCCCTGATTCTAGAAACGAATCTGGTAGAAGATATATTTTGGATTCGAACATAACGATAAGCAATCTCTTCATTTTAGCCCTAAAATCTAAGTTGTGGTTTCTTTTATTTGTAATATACGGCAATTATTATCATTATATTAACTTTATATACTACTATTATTTACATATAAAAGGTATCTTAATATTTACAATTACAATATTAATAGAATATTATGCCCGTCTATTTTTCCAAGAATGTTGGATGTTACCCCTTTTTTGTTTATTGATTCTATAAAATGTTAAAATTTGCATTTTTTAGATGGTCCGGCCAAAACACGGTCATCCTCTTCCCGTCTTTGTTTGGAATTAAGGTCGGCAGAAGTGACAGAACTAACCTGCAATTAAAAAAAAAAAAAAAAAGATTAGTTTCCGACGTTTACTTGCTTTCGTGTACGCTGAACTCGTCCAAGGATAAGCAAAACTTTAAAGTCCTTTGTTCATAAATATCTTTACAAAAAAAACGGTGATCATGACCATAGTATTTGTGAAATTGAGTTTCAAACACAAAATGCTATAACATAAATCTCTTAATAGCGGTGTTCACTGGATAGAATAGAAAAGGATATTAGCTTCCAGTGGCCAGTAAATTCTAGTGTAACCTCATTAGTATAACTACCAAAATCATTTACGAAATAACCCTAGGCATTATTTTACGATGCAATCAGGATACATTAGGGCTATAAATTTCAAGCGATATTTATTACAAAGTTATTTCAAGTTAAATGGCTATTGCGCAGAACAAATATCTTTATCGTTATAGCATTTTGTGTTTGCATGTTTCATATTATAATTGTGGCAGCTGAAGCTGAAATTGGCTGATGCTAAATTTTGACCTGTTATATGAATCTTTGAAAATTTTGGGGTCTTTTTTGTAGTCTTTTTTTAGGGTTAGGTTGAAATATAGGGGTAGAGTTGTTAACAAGTGTACATGTGGATTTCAGTGGTGTTATAGGTTTAAATAGGGAACCCCAAATTTTAGCACCAGCCAATTACAACATAAGCTGTAACAATTGAATATTTGTTATCTTCGCACCTACTAAAATAAATTTAAAACCTTTCAACTACGATCCAATTAGATTAAATTACAAATAATACATATTCGCCAACTAAAATAAGTGTGCGAGATAATTCGGCATATTAACAAATAATATGTATCTACACTCACCAACTAAAGTCAACATGGGCGAAATAATTTGGACACATTGTAAAGAAAATAGTCAAGAACCTGAATTTTGGATTTCAAGTATCCACACTTATCAATTAAATCGCTATTAATGAGCTTATTGCAGGGTGAACTTGAATTGCTAGGTCCGAATAAACGGAGCAAATGAAATCTGCATTCATCAAATAAATCAATATGAGAGAAATAATTCATGCGTATAGTAAGATAAATCATCAAAACAATTTTTTTTTGTTTTAAATTTTATTTATACACACCAACCAAATCGTCATGTATTCTTACACATTCGCGATTGTATTGAGCTATGCAAGCGCACTAACTTGGACATAAAAGTGAAAAATATATTATGCAATATAACCGGATCCTATCATTTTCCCGACAACCACTTTCCCGACAATGTCAAAATCCCGACAAGTTAGCCCGCATTAGGTTAGGGTTAGTGTTAGTTCCGGTCAATTTTTGTCGGGATTTTGTTTGTCGGGAAAGTGTTGCCGGAAAAATGATAGAGACCCCAATATAACTAATTCAGAAGTTTTACTCTAAATTAGTTTTATCGCATAATGTGTTTTCATTTTTCTTCCAAGTTAATACGCACGCATAGGTTAGTAAAGTCAGATGGAATAGGCTTCTTGTTAATCGGATCAGATAAAGAATAGTTGTTATCCTTGGATTGGAGCATAACATGTCTTTTCATGAATACATATTAAGTATTAATACATGCATTTTATTGGTTAATATTATCTACATTTTTATTAGTCAATGATATATAGGTTCCAGTGAGAAAATCTTTCCAGTGGGATTTGTCACTGGAACCACTGGAATTCTGGAAGAATCTTGATTTCCAGAAGTCCAGTTCCAACACTGTTTTAACACGATCTTACCTCTACTTCGACATCACTCATTATGACATCATCGTCGGATTCAGATGAGGTGGATGATGAGTCGTCAGTAAGCACATGTCCCCGGGAAACAACGATGACCGGCCTACGATCGTTACTTCTGTAGCCTGGACCGAATATTGGAACAAATCCTTGATTGTCTAATCCTAGCACTTCTGCAATGACCTTCCGTGCATTGTGATATGGAAACCTTGTTATTACAAAAAAGAATTAAATTTCGGTGGATTAATAAACTTGTAATATTTTCAAACACTCACCACGTGCCCTGGTATTTAATGTTACCACCCACAATGACAAATTTATCATCGTTCCAACTTGGTTGGTAACAGCTTAATTTTTCGATCTTGAAATTAGGATTACCCATCAACTTCTTTATCGGGTTCATGTGTACGAATCCTGTTAGAGCATCCCAACGGATGGTTTCGCCTTGATAATTGTATTCGTATGCTAATGGATGATTTGTTATTTTGATTACAATCAAAAATTTTTATTACATGAGAACAACGAGTGGAACGTCCCTGGAACCATTAACTTTTTTTATTCATAACATTATTTTATCACTATAATTATGTTCTATTATTCTCTCGTTTAATCGCAACTTGTTTTTTGTTTAGACTCTTCTGTAACTTTACGAAAAAAATCGAAAATAGTATGTTAAATTTGCTCACCAATGCTAGGAATACAATCTTTTCCATTATATCTGATAGTATTAACGATAAAACCTGGTGCAGAAAATGGTTCCCACTCTCCTGAAGGTTCAGGTTCAGGAAGACTTTGCTGAGCACGGTTTCGTGACCTTGTGGTCTGCCTACTCTTCCCTTTACTTGATGTAGTTTTATCCGTCCTACGTGAAGAGTTCATAAAGTCAACGCGATTTTTTCCATTCTATTTTCAGAGAAGAATAAAATTAATAAAAAATATATGATAGATTTTAAAACGTCAAATACTATGTACTTTGCTGCGAGTATCGTCTTTTGCCTTGACCTTTTGGTTAGGCATCTTGCGCAAAGGCCATTCAATACCGAATAAGTTAAAGTGACGCGTGCATCTTGGGCATCTTCTTTCTTTGTAATCAAACGTACTAGAATACTTATCGTTACATATCTTGCAACGTCGTGTAATTTCTTGCTGGGCATTAACTGTTGAAGAAGGACCAGCGATTACGATGGCCTTAGAACTAGAATCTGATATATCATTACTACACAAGTATGCGATAGACATCCGTGAACTACCGCCCGCAGGAGTAAACGGGCTATTACTCTGACCAGTTACTCCAAAGTTATTTGACAACGGAGCGTTTACGCCTTGATGAATCGGCGTATTTACTCTACGGAAGATCGTTATTCCCCATTCAACTCTGATTTCTGGTGATGCAACCACATTAACACCAGCCCAAGAATTTTCCATTTCGGAATTAAAACATGTATTTGCTGTTCTTTTCATTGATGGTGATGACGAAAGGTTTTGCAAAATGTCACTGTTATGTTGATTTTCTGATACTGAAGTTAGGATGGACGATTGAGGAACATCGGTTTGTAAATCTGATGGGATAATTGAAAGTGAATTGATCGTTGGATTTGTTACGGATCGTTGATTTGCTGAAAATGAATGATAATTCGTATTATCTGAGCAATTTTGATTTAACAAGCGACTTGTGTTGTGCTGACGAACAGAAGAAATCATTGTGCGGAAACTCATAGGCTCTGCTCTTGTCGGTAATGAAATTGTGGTAGTCGCAGAATGTTGCGTGATGTTATTAGTGGCACAATCAATGTCAGTTGTAGGTTGTAAAGGTTTTTCAATTTGTTTATCCAATTGTTTATTTTTTGAGCTTTTAGTCACTTTTTGTAATTATCAAATAAATATATTAGTACTGCATAACAATTACAGTCGATCATTAGGGATAAATACCGAATTATTTTATATCAATGACAATGGAAATAATGCATACGAAGACCAGACTTCCTCCGTCGTAAAACGCTACGCCGAATAAGTTTGCCCTTATCATCGTAAACAAACGGTCGTAAACCTTCCTTCAAAACTACACCATCATCTTCGGTACGAAATGATCCTGTTTTATTTCTAAAGAGGCAAATCAAATAAATTTAGCAAATAGATAAAAATAATCTCGATTACTAGGCAGCTTACCTTTCGCATGTCGCACAAAGACACTCTTCGTTTCCAGCTCCAAAATAATTGTCACCATAATAAGCTGTCAATTCTTCACCAATTGCAACATCACGAAGAAATTTAAACGCTATTGCGTTTTGTCCAGACGAGATAAATTCTGTATTGGGACAACAATCATGCTATTTGAAATAGAATAATAATGGATTTATTATTAATGATATTTAAATAAATTGAAGATTTTAATACCTACGTTAACGAATCTTGCAGGTCCCAACAATAAACACATTGTATCTTTCCTTGATGACCACATAATACTGAAATCCCGACCACCCTCTAATGCTCTTTCTTCTTCTGTGGTTAGGCTAACAAGTGTACCAGAACAATGCCGAATTTCGTCGCCTACATGCCACTCTTTTGTGGCAATTATACAAGCCTCTCGTTTCATCGAACCAGAATATCTATCTGTCTCGGCTATTTCAAAACCGGCCGTTGGTAGATACATAGCAAAATATCTTTTTGCGTGCCTGTTAAATGTTTAAATTAATGTTTTATAACCTTATCTTCTTTATTTTAAAATAAAATATTTTTGAATCATACTGGATAAAATCCTTTTCAGTCTCAACTGTAAGCTTGGCTGTTTCGCGGACAGTAGGTATCCTATATAGAAACGTGCAATTATCATTAATTCTAAAGTTATGAAAATTCTTGATCACGTGGGCATTTAATATTCGATTTTGAAAGCAGAGTACACATCTATTATCCGGCTACCGTTATGTAAACGATTAAGAAATAATTAATTATTCCGAAAGTTAAGCATTAGCAACACGTGCATTATATACAATTGTTTTGAACTTTGTATGCCTTTAACACTCGTTCAAGCGGCGCTTGTTCTCCTTAAGGCGCTTCAGCCTGTTGTTTTCTATAAAGAGTAAGCTATAAAAAAGACTTACTGCAGCAGCTCATGAACTGCGTCATTTAACTTGTTCAGTTGTATCACGTTTCGTTTTACAATGTCAACAAGAATTTCGCGTGAGACGTTTGTTTCACGGTAGCTGGGATTTAATTTGAATGTCCGGAACCAAAGAAAGATCTTGTCTAGTAATAAATCTGTAAGTACATCGTCGAACTGTTGAACTGTTAATAAGCCCATTTGATCACCGGGCATTTTAAAGTATCAGATAGATAAAAAGCCTGATCGCAAGAAAAAATTGCGGCGAAAATGGTTATAATCTTGGTAGACTTGTAGTTTGATAGATAACGAATGTAAGACGCAATCAATAAATGGTCGCGAAAGCAGCTGGACGGGTTTTATATTGAGAATATTAGTTACGGAGTATGTACGGACTCCTAAACCCTTTTGGGATTTTTTACATACGAGTCACCGGTCATACCCGTGTTGTAGAGTTTTAACCAAATTAAGTACCAAATTATAAAAATGTGTATTACATAATTTGCAAACAATGCTTTAATCGTCGACACGAATTACGATAGTATTCAAAGTCCATTTATATTTCGATATAATTTTTCGTAAATTTTTTAGTTTATATTGAGAAAATTTTTTTTTTCAAATTTATAAAAATTGTGCTTTTCGGGTTGTAAAAGCCAGGAAACTAATTTCACTAATGAAAAATAGGTGTCACTGATCTGAATAAAGATATACGAACTCTTACTCCGGATTCACCGGTCTTAACGGACAAAATTTAAAATATATATAACAGATTCAATATTTTAAAGGCCATATTACGTATAACCCATAACTATATTATGAATTTAATATAACGCATCGGTTGGCAACCAGTTAGAACGCGTTCTATGACCGCGATTTACTAATGGCTGTTAAACAATTCTGATCAGAAATAGGCCTTCCGTTATATATGTATAGCAAATATGCTATATAACGTTATAACCGATAGTTGACTTCTATGTAAAAAAGAGTTTATACGTATAGCTATTTTTGTTACATGGAACTGGAAAATAGGACTCGGCAGGCCGGCAAAAAAATTACATTTAACAAATTTTTTAATAAAAAATTTGATTTTTTTTTTTTAGAATAAAAAAAAAATTTATATGAATGCTCGAGAAGAAAAACCTGTAAGTACAAATTTCAATTTTCAATATGCCGGATTTAAACTCAGAAAAGTTGATAATCAATGTTATCAAACTTTCTGAGTTTAAGTTCGGTATAGTTTAAATTTTACTTACAGGTATTTTTCCCTCGAGCACTCGTATATACTAATATTGACGGATAACAAAGTATTGGTTTCTGGACTATATAATATTATATTAATTTTTTTAAATGCTTCAATATAAGGCCATACAAACTTAATAAATAGGTTCTCATAACATAAAGTTTTTGAAAGTGACCCGGCAACCTGGCTTTTAATTTTTGTTTTCAAAAAATTTTATATATAAAAAACATAATAAATTTTTTTAAAAAAACCACCCGGATAGTAAATATACTTAAAGTTTTGTAAAATTTGAACCGGCCGGGTTACAAGAACCGATTTATTAAGTTTGTATGGCCTAAACCAAAATTTTAAATTCTAAGAATTAAATGTTAACGTTGACGTTAAAGCTTCTAGTAAATATACTATATAGTTATTTGCTTATAACAAATGGTATACACTTTTAATGCCCTATCCAGGGCCGATGATTTTCGGTGGTAATATTTATTTATTTTTAAAAATAAATAAATAGTGTTGTTTACTGGAAGACTGGCTGGATGGAACGATTTTTTCACTGGAACATATTCATTTGATTGGCTGATTTTAATGTGACCATCGACCAATCAAATTGATTAATTGCTAATTCAGATAAAATCAGCACTATTGCTATATTAGTACTATAATAAAAATTGGACAAATTTTATGAGTTTTATAATAGAGTGGAATCTGGCATTAGCTCAAAGCAAAGTCTTTCTTTTACTAAGTTAATCTTTCTTCAAGCTTTAACAAAAGTTGTAGAGCTTTTTTTTGTGATTTTTTTTTTTTTTTTTTTAATCTTCAAATTAGGCTTGGTGGTTCTTGAGATATTATAACTTTTCTTTTTTTTGCATATATAAAACTTTTTACAATATTGCAAAGAAGTTTTATATATATGAAGAAAAAAAATTATAATATTTCAAAAATCACTAAGTTAAATTTGATAATCTTATTACTATTAGAACTATAAAAAAGAGCTCTACAATTTTTGTTAGAGTTTAAAGAAAGATTAATTTAATAAAAAAAAAACATTATCTAGTCATTTTACTTATCAACTCTTTCCAATGATTACTTGGTTAACAACAATTTACCGAACTACAGTTAGTAATATAGGAAAGCAACATAGTGAACACAGCAATATTCTTGGTTTTGCACTAAGCAAACTTGTTGTCAACAAAGCCTACAATATGTGAAACACTGAGGAGC